TTATTTCAGGGGCCACATACAAATAATTTGATCTCAAGTGCTGCATTGTGAGTAATTTCAACAGTATGTCTTAGTTTTTCCACTTTCAGTCAGTCTGCTGCTCACTTTCATTATATGTGACTTTTGTTTTTCATGATTTCCCACTAAAGCGGACGCTATTGAAGAAGCAGGTTAAGTCGTCCCCTGCCTCACAATCTGAAGTTTTGTCAGTGCCTCAGCAGCAGGGTTCCACTAATATTGTTTTAAGACATAAGTCTGATACAGAGTCTTTTGTACTGAAGCTGCTGGTTGACAATATTTTGCACAATGTTTGTTATCTTTATATGTGACCACAGAAAGTGCTTTGTGTTATTTCACAGAGCTGTGTTCTGGTCAGAGTGGAAAAGCCTCTAAGGCATGATTTTAGATGAAGTATCTGCTCACAGTTTAAATGGCTCCTGAAAGCTCTCAGCCTGCACATGTGCATCAACATTAGATGTGCAAAATCATCTAGAGGGCCGGATTGGGCCCTTTTGTGGGCCGGTTCTGGCCCACAGCCTTATGTTTGACACCCCTGTCTTTGAGTGTTTCATCCCACAACACATACAGCCTAAAAATAACAGCATAAATATTACTTATTTTGTATCGTGTGTGTGAACTGAGTGGGCTTTCAATGTGTTAAGATCAGGATGAAAAAAGCAAAGTTAATCTTAAAAAGTAAACTATTAGAGACTCTTTTTAACTGTAGATCAGCGAGTGTCTTTAGCCCTAGCCTACTTTATCAACGGTGACTTAGGTTTGGAGCTGGCATTATGCTTATCAGTATGCTGGTTGGAAAATGTGCTTTAAATTTTTCTCCCAGTGTTTTATCTCAGTTATTATATCTCCATAAAAGCCAAATATCTGCAAAGGGGTGTTTTAACTGTGAGTTTAGGATGATTCCGCTTTTAAAAAAGACTTAAAATATTACAAAACCAACAAAAAAAACAATTAAAGATGTTTTACCCCACTGTGTGAAATGTTTGAAAGATCAAGGAACTCTGTCTCACAAATGCCTACAATGCCATAGGTTTCAAACTTTTTGGGGTCATTTTTAAGACTTTTTTACTAAGGCCTTTAAGAAGGAGTTTCCCCTGCCCCTTTACCTGCACTATTTGGGGAGGTTGAGCCAGGTACAGTGAATGACAGTATGAAGCTCAGGCCATCTCTCTGTCCACACTGCTTGCAAGAAATGTGTTGCTTCAGCTTTGGAAATCTGAGAATCTCCCAACATTGGATATGTGGCAAAAGAAATTCATGTTTTACATTTAGAGAAACTTAGATTCATCCTGTCAAACCAAGAGCGACTTTTTACCAAAAATGGCAACTGGTCATTAGTTTGACTGAAGAATGTAAGTGAATGGTTGATGGTTTAACAGGTTAACTGTGCCATGATGCCATGCCAATACCCTGTAACTTGTGGAATAACATATGTGTAATCTTTTTATGTGTTTTGCTTTGTTTTTCTTTTGCTGTTGTAAAAAAAGTCTTAAAATATCATTGGCAAATATGCAAAAGAATAGACTTGATTGGGAGCATGTTGACCTGTATTAGTTGAAAAGTTTAACTTAAATAATGGTGAGACATTGTGAATTTGGGGGAGAATTAAACTTTCTAAACTGACACTTAATGCATCATCTCACAATTACAAAATGTAATATATTTTTCACTAGATATTGTTTTAAAGAAAGCATTTATCAGGTGTTTTTCCTGTCCTGTTATATTCCTTACCTTATATTTCCACTGGGCCCGGACCCAAATAACTTTGTTCAAACTGCACCTCTCTGCTTTAAGGAACAAAATAAAGAGCTTTAAACATCACAGAAATGTTTGATTTTTGACATTTATTTTCACACTTTAATTAACAACAAAAACACAACATGAGTTTCCACTGCAGCAAGTTTCACAAATATATTACCACTCATCTTATTTACACAGATTACTTCAAGACTTTGAATGTCAACGCACATAAATATCATGCAATCAGAATATTTCTTTAAGAAATGAGCTACATCAACGTGTCTTCACAGAGCATCAAACAAACAGATACTGTAAAGGCTTCAGCAGTGATGGTAAGAGAGTCTGAGATGCTCGTTCCTTAAAGGAGCAGTGCTCAGCATGGCAGGAGGGCAGAATGGAGTCCGGGGAGCCTGCAGGAGAGTCGGCACCAAGCAGGCAGCAGGGCCCGACATGAGATGACCGTATCCGAGAGCGCTGCGAGGGCTCTGCAGTGGATTTGGGTTGTGTGCACTGATGGGAGATGGTTTGCTCATGATGCTGTCAATGCTGAAGGAGCACTTTGCCTGCGGGCCAGGCTTTGGCTCTGCTGGTTCTGTTGCGCAAAGCTGCGCTCTGAAGTCTTTAGGCCCACTGCACTTCCCGTGACTGTTCAAAGTTTGTGGTGGAAGGTGATATGAAGACGGAGGCATCATGATGCCCTCCTGTAGAGGCATGTACCGGATAGGAGCAGCAGGCGGGGGGCTTACCTGGCCTTGTACGCAATATGGTTGCCCGTACGGCCGGTAGCAGTTCAAGTTGGAATAAAACATAAGTCCGTCTTTGCCAAGCTCGGGCTGGTTTCTCTTGAAGCGCTTCCTCCGCCGAAGGAAGCTGCCGTTGTCGAACATGTCCTCAGAGGCAGGGTCCAGAGACCAGTAGTTACCTTTGCCCGGGTTTCCAGGCTCCCTTGGGATCTTGATGAAGCAGTCGTTGAGGGAGAGGTTGTGCCTGATGGAATTCTGCCAAGCGGGGAACTTGTCTCTGTAGTAGGGAAACTTGTTGCTGATGAAGTCACAGATGCCGCTCAGCGTCAGCTTCTTCACCGGGCTCTGCAGGATGGCCATGGTGATGAGGGCAATGTAGGAGTAGGGAGGCTTCACGGAGCTGCTCTGGATTTTCCTGGACTGCGGTGCGTCTGCGCAGAAACTGTTCTCGCTCTCCCCCGAGGAGTCTGGTTCAGAAGAGTCAAACTCGGCTCCAGATTCTGCTGAGGACCCGGCGTCCGTGGAGCACTGGTTTCGATATAAACGCCCGTGGCGTGGCTCATCCTCGCCCACTATGTCAATCTCATCCTCTTCCAGAGGCGAAGCGACATGTAGTGAAGCTTCAAATTTACTGGAGAGAGTCATGGTCACGCGGAATGCTCACAGACGCGTAAAAACTCAACTGTGCCAAAGAGGCATTAATGGTTCGCCGTGCGTAAAAACCGAAAGGACCCTGTTCGTGCGTAAAAGCGCATCTGCTGTCCAGTCCGACTCAAATCTCTCCTATCGGCTGTTAGTTCTGGAAAGGAGGGATGAGGCTTTTTATGTTGGGAGACTGCTGCCCTGCAGGCCAGTCCCATTAACCCTCTGGACCTATCAGAGTAGCCCCTCACCGCGGGGAACCAGTGGAGGCAAGCACACAGGTGGGGGGGCTTGGGGAATCCTGAAGTGCGCACGGCATATTCATGCAAAGACAGTTTATAGACGGCAAAGTATCTATGCATTTAATTTCAATTGCCAAGAAACTAGAGTTAGTGTCAAACCAAAATTACATCAAATGTAACAAAAGCTCCCAAATACTAAAGAAAAAATGGCTTTCCTTTATGTGTGGGTTTTACGCGTCACCAAAATAACGACTGTTTCATTTCAGTCTAATCACTTTTTGCACTCCTGCAGGACAAATGGTCCACACATCCACAGTATACACCCATATGTGAGCCTGATATAGGCAATGTTCTGTGCACCATGCTTCCAAAATACATTGATAAGAGGTTAAAGTTTAATCTTGGTATTTTAATCATCTGCTATTACAAATCGCAGCAGCTCAGTCGGAGGTGGATGTTCTTGAGAACTTTAACACCACGCCTAGCCAGTGTTAAGAAACCAAGTGTTTCCCCCTCGGATCCCCCGCGGGTTCGTTTAGTTTGCCACCTCTGGATGCCCGCAGGAGGTGTGACCATGAAAATGGCCGTGGTGGGGCTTCCCGCAGCCCGCACAGAAAAGAGCCAATAGTCGCCTTAACGAGGCCATCAGCATCAGAATCGAGTAGGAAACGGCTCAGCTGAACGGTGCGCTCTGGGCTACAGGGCTCAGCTCGGCTTTATGACCCGGGATGAATAAGCGGAGTCATCCTCAAAGCAAACCAGCCCAACAGCGGATATGTGCTAAAGCCGTACTGCTAAACCATCTCCATTGCAAATGACCAAGTTGGGAAAACTCCACCTATTTCCTCACCTTACTGGGCCTACTGTGTGAGAGGGAGATGGTTCTCACACATGAAGGCTAAAGTCACAAATACCAGAAAATAGAGTGACTGTAATCAGTCAAGTATTACAAGCACCAACTTAACTGAAGCTGCGATTTAACAGTTTGACTTCAATTTTGTCCTATCTGAAACTCTCAGTTTTTTTTAAACATGGCAAAATGCATGACAAACAAGTAGATTAATAAAAAAAAAGTCTCTTTAAAGAAAACATTACATCTTCACTGGGAACCAGTAAAACTAGTTTTCAATTTAGAATTAAATATAACCAGTAAAAAAGTTTAACTGTGGTGGAAAGCTGAATACATTTTAGGAATCACCTAGTTTATCTGTAAATCAAAATATTACAACAAAATGTTCATAAACAATCATTATAGCCATTTATAAATTTGGGGCATTTTCTAAGAAATTTTGGTCATTAAACATGGCTTTACCTGCAATATTTGAGTCATCTCACTTCTGAAACAAACACCATCTTTTAATATATCCATGGCCTGCTGACTGGATGCATCAGTTAAAACTCCTGTATGAGTTTCATAACAAAAAAAGCAAAGATGTTAATGCTCTTACAGGAGCTTTTCACACTTTGTTGAGTATCATGGTGAACTTACCGCTTTAACACAAAGCCACTTTGTGTCTGTTGTCATGTTAATAGTCGGCTGTTGTCACCTTCAACTAGCCATTTTTAAATTCTTTTAAAAACATTGATTGTGTTTAGATATATGAGAGCAGTTTAGTAGATGTTCAGATGTTTTTTTTTTATTTTGAATAAGTTAAAAATACAGTATGTTGAAAGCCAGGAACATGAGCAAGTCTACTTGTTTATGAAATACAGTCTTGTACCACTTGATGTGGTATGTGCGACAATTTGCAACTTCCAACACTTTGGGGCTCCCGACTTTTAAAAACAGCAGAGTTTTACAAAGCCATAATCATGAAAGCAACCAAAAAACAAATGTATTGATTAAATTTCTGGAGCTTTGTTGCATCTTATGTGCACACATTTAAAAGGTCATTTTCAGTCTACGTTTCACAGCTTGTAGATCCGGCACTGCAGCAACATAAACACTCATGGATATACTGTAGCTTTTAAAGCAGGTAGTGGTGAATTATCACAATTATAGCCTATCGATCCCTACCGTAAACCATCCTCTGACTTACCCTGTCTTTCCTATAGGACAGTAGTGAACATCTGAAACACAGTCCCAGATCTGTGGATGGCCAAAGCCACGACCTTTGCTCCAGAATCATCAGTTTTCAATGCAAAGACGAGAGAGAAGCTTGTAGCTATTTTTTCTCTGCTCCTTCCAACACTCTAGAGATGAACTGTTCCTGCAGGATGCTCTTGTCCAGGTTTCTACCTGCAGGTCAGAGTAGAGACAAACGTGAGGACTGATGGAGCATGGATAAACACACAGATGTAGGTATGTTAGGTGTTATGTGGACAGTTGTTCTCAAGGTTATGCAGAAATCCCAAGGCAGTCTGATGTAAAAGGGAAAAGTGGGTAAGGCTGTATTTTACAGGTCTGTAATTTAATAACATTTTCCTAAACAATTCCAAGGAAATTCCCTGGAAAAAATAACTTAATTTGGTACTTGTCATGGATGAAACTACTAAACTGTGAAAATCCTCATAAAATGTTTTTTGTACTTCCTCCATTACAGGAACATTAGCACATAAACTTAAAAACTAAGATTATCAGGCCGTTTTGATCCATTTAATGCAGTTCAATGGATCTGCTTCCTTCCCAGTGGTGTGTAAGAGTTGTGCGAAGAAGTGTGCGTGTGTGTCTTCACCTATAAAGACCAGTCGGTTGATCCGCGGGTTCTCTTCCCAGAGCTGTGGCGTCTCATTCAGGTCATACAGCTCGTGGACCCCCTGCAGCATCACTTGGTGATTTTTACCTGCAAATGAAACTATGCCCTGCAAAAGCACAAGTCACAAGTCACGAGTGACACATTAACCGACGCTGAATGAAGCGTTTGGAAATGATTAATACAGATAAAAAGTGGCAGTTATTGATCACCGCCGCCACCGGGGTGACTATTGTGTCTCACTGTACCTTTAACCGAATGACAGTCATGGGTTGCCCTTCTTTGTTTTTGAACATCTTTTCCCAAAGGAGATCCTGAAACAGTGGAAAATGGTGTTTACTTTACAAAGGAGTGTATTGTGTTAGAGCTAATTAGTAATGGCACACGGACTGTAGAGTACCTGGATGAAGATATTCAGGGCATCCTCAGAGAGATCTCCAGCCACTTCAAACGTCACAGTTAAAATACTCTGAGGATGACATTAAATACAATATGTAAGTGTTATCAATATACACCAAAAATTAGACATTTTGTGGTTTTGAAATAAATGAAAAAAAATCATGAAATTGTGGTTCAGAATTTCAGTAAGATCCAACATTTTTCACTCACTAAAATAGATAGATAGATATATTAAACTTTGTGTGTGTTGCCCTCTTGACCCGCTCACTCTTGGAAAAGAGATTTTAATCAATGGGACTTTTACCTGGTTAAACTGAGGATGTATAAATAAGAAGTGATTTTATGCAGCAGTAAAAGACGTGATCTGGGGTCTCATTTAAAAAACAATGCATAGGATCCACACTAAAAATGTATGTATGGACAAAAGCCAACAATGGCCTGTGCCAAAAAATATTCAACAATTTCAACAATTAGGCTTCAACCTCAACCTCACCAATTTCCTGTCTCGAAAATGTTCATAAGCATGGGACAAAGGTTTTCCCATCAAGTCTGTTTTTACAGATCAAAATGTTTGCATGGGAAGTGGCGTACGCCTCTTTCAGGCCTCTTTTTGTGCGTACGCAATGTTTATAAATAAGAACCTGATCATTTACATAAAGCGACATTTCACCCTAAAAGTCACCTATAGTGCTATTTATCAGTCTCTAGATTATTTTGGTGTGAGTTGCCGAGTGTTGGAGATATCGGCTGTAAAGATGTCTGCCTTCTCTACAGTTTAATGGAACTAGATGATTGATAGATGACAATTTTCTTTCTACCGCACTATAACCACTGACTGTATCAAGGCGCAGAAGGATGCGTACATCTACCCATGGACTAGAGACTCGTGCTCTTGACAGCGCAAGATGTAAACATTAATAGCGTCCTCCTCGGCTTAGCTGTAATGCATTCTCGGAACCCATCGGTTGTATTTGGTGTCTGACTTCCGGCAGACGGCGATACAGCCTCTGGGGGCAGACCCCCGATTTTATGGCATTCCGGTTTGATTTGGGCGGAGGAGGCGAATTTCCGTTTCCGACTTCTGTTTATATATAAGTAAATATGCTGAACCATCGCGATGGATTCAGAGTTTGCAGTGATGCCACTTATGTTCCGCCATGTTAGTTCACCGCACGGGCCGTTTAACCTGGCAACAACTGCAGCCGGCTCAAACGTGATTAATCAATATCACGCGGACTACAAACAGGCTACAACCGGAAACCAGGGCTCTTCCGCTCTTCTTCCGGAGGCAAGATCTCCGGGGTTTGCCTACAGACTCTACATTCACTGAATGTAGAGTCTGTATATAGAGACTAGCTGTGATGTAAGTTAGCTCAGGGGTGCTAGGTGAGCTAGCGGTAGATCAGACCAGAGCTACACCACTTTAAACAGGTGAGAGAAAAAAATATGTATTTTTGATTTTGGGGTGAACTTTTAAGTGAAAATAGCACAAATAAAAGCACATATGCATTATCAAAAAAGTGTATCATTATTTTAGTTATTATTATGTCATTTAACCTGCCAAGGGACTGCAGATGTGAATTAGCTTTAAGCTAAATACAGTGGTGGAAAAAAGTTTTCGGACACCCTTAAAATTTTACACAATCTCAAATATTATCATGAAATATTTGTGGAAAAATCTTTTTTGTGTTTCAAAAGGTGTGGCTGCATTAGACAGATACAAACAAATACAAATAATATTTTTTTGTTTATTGTTTACAAGAAAAACTAACAAAACTAAATTCTTGACAGTTTCAATATGTCAGTTCTCAACATTGTCAGTATCAAAGTCAACAAATAACAGAGAATGTGTTCAAAACTGAACAAAAAATAAATAAACCATCACATCATCAAATTAATATTTAGTAGTCCTGCCACTGGCACATAGTAGAGCTCTTATCCTGACTGGCATGTTCCCCACGAGCCTTTCACACTGTTGAGGGGTAATCTTGTCCCATTCTTCTTGAATTACTGCTTTTAATTCTTCTAAATTATTTGGTTTATGCTTTGAAACAGACCTTTTGATAATCCACCACAGATTTTCAATGGGGCTCATGTCCGGGGACTGAGCTGGCCACTCTAAGACCTGGATACTGTGCTCCTGCAGCCAAGTTCTACTGGCCTTGGATGTGTGGCAAGGGGCATTATCTTGTTGAAACATCCAGTTTTTACCTCGACGGAACAGTGCACGCGCAGAAGGGAGCATGTGGGTTTCGAGAATGGTACAATACTTGGTAGAGTTCAATGTGCCATCACAGACAGTGAGATGACCAACACCAGCAGCACTCATGCATCCCCAAACCATGATACTGCCTTCACCATGCTTGACAGTAGGTACTGTACATGCTGGAGATAATGCTTCGCCTGGCCTTCTGCGTACCCTCACATTAGTAGGAGGAAGATAAAGCTGGAAACTGGACTCATCTGACCACAAAATCTTCTTCCAATTCCTGGCTGTCCAGTTCTTGTGTGCCTGGGCCCAACGACGCTGGGCTAACCTCTGTCTCTCATTGATCAGGGGCTTCTTGATAGCCTTGTAGGACCTTAAGCCATGATCTAAAAGTCAGCCACGTACAGTGCGGGTGGAACACTGGACACCAGTTTGGTTTGACCACTGCTGCTGAAGCTCCTGTGATGTCATTCGGCGGTTTTGCCTGCACATGCGGATCAGGATGCGGTCATTTCTTGCTGAAGAAACCCTTGGACGCCCAGATCTTGGTTTGTCTTCCAAGCTGTTGGTTTATCTGTATTTCTGCAGAGTGTATCCAACTGCTGAAGGACTGCATCTGCACTTCCTGGCTATCTGGCGCTAGCTGTACCCTTCCTGGCTGAGAATCTTTATCTTCAGGCATGTTTCCTGCGTTAGGTTCCTTGTTTTAGCCATTTTTGTGTCTGAAGAACTTTCAGATGTGCTGGCTTTATGTAGACACGAAGCTTGGCAACAAAAATTGTGTCTTTTAATAAAAAGAACGACCTTCATCACTGGTACCAAAATGACCCAATACTCAAAATTTCTTATGTATTTTTATGGAACCAATCAATTTTAAGTTTTAATGGCTTTTTTAGGATTTATTTAGTATTTTGGCTGTGACTGTACTACAAGAAATTGCACTTGAAGACCTAAGAGTGATTCTTAATGCAATATTTCACAAATGCATGGGGTGTCCGAAAACTTTTTTCCACCACTGTATGGTGTAATACATTAAATGGCAACATTTATGTTTAATATTGTACATGGTCCCTCAATTTATGTGTAAGCAGCATTTTAATGTTGTCAAAACAAAGTCACTTTATATTGGGTAGTTTAAAGCAATGCCTATTTAACAAACTAATCAGATGTTTTATGTAGTTCAATATTTCCCTTTGTAATGTAACAGCGTTGAAGTGTATGGTAGCATAAAATGTAAAACCCTTAAGTAAGGTACAAGTATCTCAAATTGTACTTAAATATAGCACTTAGATTAGTAAAGCTTTTATATGTTGAGACTTACATTTTCAGGCTGTTTTGAAGCCTTACAGTTAATTTATTTAAAATACATTTTTACACTTATTCTCAGTTCACTGAAACCAGCGAAGTCATTATGAACGTTAAACAAAAGAAGTGTTTTTACGCCCCGGCTGATGGCTTTGTCAATGACCGTGCCAAAAACCACAACTCCACTCGGCACCTGAAACCCCCTCTTTATCTGCCTGCATCCCCCCGTTCTCACTCCTTTTCTCTCCCACTCACACACTCCCTCCTCTCCATACTTCCTTACAGCATTAAAAGGGGCACTTTGTAGATATTTGGGGGTTTTGTGTTGGAGTGTTAAGGTTACACACTTCCTTGTCATTTGGTATAACAACAGAAAAACAGCACTCTCATTTACATGAAAAGAGCAACACGGGGAAGAGGAGGGGAGGGGGAGAGAGGAGGAGGGTCTGAGGGGACGGTTGAGCTTCATGCGGGAAAGGGAACTTGGAGAAAACGGACAACAATGCCGTTATTTACCCACACAAACAACCCTCATCTCTGCTCATCCTGTGATAAAAGGTCATGGGTATAAAGCACAAGATGAGGCCTAATTGCTGTGAGGAGTCATGTGGTCAAATGGTACAGAACTAAACCTGGAATAAATATTTTCATGATTACATCTTCATGAACAAGAACTTAACTGATGTTTTGATATTGAGAATACACTATGTCTTCTCTTACAAACAAAGTCCCCTGACATATGACACATAACTGCTAATTAAACCGTGAAACACAGTCTGTATACTACATTTTATGACATCTGGATTATGTTCTAACAACTGTTAAGCCGTAACATGAAGCCTCCAGTCTGGCCAACAGTCTACTGAATGTCTGTGCTGCTGTGTATGACCGAGAGTGGGTCTATTTGCAGTGCAACAAGAAAACATCAAAAGCCTCAAGTTGATCTCAACACAAAAACTGAGGCAGGGAGGGAGTTTTCACTACAGTGTCACAGCCTGGGGCAATGCAAGGCACAACGTTAGCCTCAGGAGAATGCATCCCCTTTATCCCCGAGGAAATGATGTGTTGAAATAAATTAGCAAACAAAACAAGGAAAACTATCAGAGATGCAGAGACAGGCGAATATCAGCAGTTAATGGATAAAAGAATGAATCAGGCAGAGTTCAGAGCATATGAACAATACCTTGTCAAGATGGGGTCTTGTATCTTTCACGAGTTGGAGCTTCTCTGCCAACCTGTCAGAGGAGAGAAATGATTTAATACCATAATATTTTTTTTCCCAGTTTCATCCAACATTAAGTCACTAATTTCCACTTTAAAAGACTCAAAAGCTAACTTTGCTGTGTTTACTACCTTGACTAAAGTCATTCATGTCATATATTTAAAATGATTCCACAGATGTATTTGTCAGCTGCACTAGAATCAGAGTAAGATTTATCACCAAGTATGGAATTTGCCTTGTGTTTGGTGTGTACGATATGCAATTAAGAGGAAATAAAATAAAGGCAAAGTACTGCAACTGTCGAGAACATTAATATAGAATAGAAAAATTACAGTAAAATCATGAAAGAGACACTGTATAAAATACTATAAAATAAAAATGTGGAACAAAGCTGTTTTAGGATGACAGAGGCATGGCTACCTTTGCACATTATGTCATGGTTGACCATTTCTGCTCCATAACTAAGGACTCTTAAGTCATGACAAGATGTGAGGACATAAATAAATTAAAAAAAAAAAAAATTATTAGCTTGCCATCACTTTCATGTTGCCTTGTTATTTTCTGTTTGTTACAATCGTGACATTTTTTAAGTGGAGGCTTCAAATAAGCCCACAGGGATTTTTGCTTCTCCCTGCATTGTATAGTATTTGTTGTCTTTGTCATGTTGTGTATTTTAAATTGTTCAAAAACACAGAACAGGCAGGATGTATGCAACCAGTGATGAGAATTCATAGGTTGATATTGTTTTATTTTTAGGACCCACAAGCCAAAAAAGTAGGGAATTACTGTTTTAAGCTGCTGTTAAAGTTGTTTCTAGGATAAAGTATTTTACAAAACTGTATTAAATTAAATCTTAATCATGATTTCATGACTGTATTTCTGTTTAATTCTGATTTTGTGACATATTGGGTTTTTATTTTGTCTGAAACTAATTTTTTATTGCTGTCTATTGTGAAAAACTGACTTTTAATGTAATTTAATTTAATGTCATGGTCTTGTTAAATACAGATTATATAAAATGACAATCTGAAGCAACACATGTACTGTGTCTTTACTTCTTCTCCACGTTCTTTCTCTGTTCTGCTGGTCTACACAGTTTTTGTCTTTGTGGTCTTCTAATACCCTTCATGCTGTATCAGTGCTTAATGACACAACTCTGAATGGACTTGTGAAAACTTTAGAAATGGCAATTAAACCCTACAAAACACAGACCACCACCCCCAAACAAACTACAGCCCTTGTTCTCCCCATCAGACCTCCTCATCCTCCCCCCTCCTCCACTGACCTCACAAGGAGGCTAAATGTTGTGTCCAGCAGCTTGAGCTCTGCGTGCTGTTAGTACCACACAGGCGGAGCGGCGGGGGGGCGCTTCAAACAGCCAGCGTGGGATGGAGGGGAGGAGGGGCCTGGACTCTCAAAGGCAGGGGGAAAGGAGCTATCTGTTGGGACAAGGGGGACTCCTCGGGAGCCAGTGGACACACACAGCTCTAATCCTCTGCAGCTGGTCTCAGAGACACTGACCGAGGGCATGTAAGAGAGCTTTAACACCGCGGCCCGGTTCATTCACATGAAAGGATGAACACTGACTCTATTCATGAGAATGACATTCTGCAGGGGATACAATATGATGACCACCCTGCGGTGTAACAGGGGCACCCTCAATAAAAGAGTGTGTTAATTAGAGAGGAACATGATGAGCAACATTATCAAAGACTGTTGGGTACACAGTTCGGACTGATAACAAAGGCCACTGATGCAGTCAAAATAAGTTCTTGATCTTTCACTGCAAGTTCTGAAATAAAACATGACGGGTACTACACGTTATCAGAGTACACACTGGTATTAGAGCTGAAAATCTCTGATTCCAGCTTCTTCAATGTGAATAGTTTTTGTTTCTTTACTCCGCTGTGACAGTAAACTGAGTATTCTTTGTGTTGTGGACAAAACAAGACATTTGAAGATGTCATTTTGGGTTTCGGGGCAACATTTTTGTCATTTTCTGACATTTAACAGACCAAACAACCACTCACAAATCCAGAAAATTAAGAAGATCCAGAAGATTAATTAACCATGAAAATAATCATTAGTTGCAGCCCTAATTGGTATCAGCATACACAGAATATTAGCCTAGAAGTAACAAGACGTTGTAGTGATAAAATGCCAACAATACTGAAAGTTCAAGGGAATTTAAAAAGTGTTTCCATTTAATATTTTGCCCAATAGAGATCACTGACAAGTTCATTTTTCAGCTGTGAAATGTCTCGCTTAGTTAATTTGTTCTCACATTTCTTCTTGTCACACATTTACGTCATATATATCAGGAAATATTGTTTATCACTGTATATTTAAAAAAAATAAATTAAAAAAAGAATACCAGGTGTTGCATACGTGTAGAGCGCTTGAAACTCTAGAATATTGATACTGGTCTCCGCCTCAAACATATCATGATAAATAGGGCTGCATCTAACAATTAATTTCAATATTGATTAATCTGCCCATTGTTTTCTGGATGAATCATTTTGTAGCTTTCAGAAAATAGTGAAACATACCGTATGTAACTATGTAATAGCTCCCGTTAGAAGAAGCCAGCAACTCCAAACATACATATTCAAATCCTTGGTGTGTGAATCTATTTGTTTCTACGTGACCAGATACTTCTTTGATTAAGCACCCACTCCCTTGGACACAGGGTTGTAAGTGTCTTTTTTTTTTTTTTTTTTTTAGACTGTTGTTTATGCTTTATCAGACATCAGACCGACAGTCCAAAAATCCAAAGCTTTTCAGTTTCTTTTCATGTATGACAAAGAAAAGTATCAAATTCTTACATTTAAGAAACATGAAAACAGCAAATATTTGACCTAACAAATTACTAAAACACTCATTCAATAATCAAAATAGTTGCCAATTAATTTTCTGTCGATCGACTAATGGATTATAGGGACTAATTGTGGTGGCTCTCGTTGCAAACATCTGAGGTGACAACTACTTGAGTTGTTCTTTTTTGACCGTTTCCTTCCTCTTTCCAGAGAGGAGGGTGGACTTTACAGTTGTAAATGTTGTAATTTGTAATATTTCATTAACAAACAGTGTCGCCATTTCATCATCTGTCTACAAAATGTCGCACTCAGTACTTATCTTTGTCACAACCAAATTTCAGGGATCCTCAAAAAATTTATATGTTTAAAAATACCGTATTTTTTGTTGTCAGTATTTTTGTTTTCTTAAAAGTAAGTTTCTTGTCTGTCACATACATTTTTTTTTAATAAACATATTTTGTGTACATGAAAGGGACAAAACCAACTCACTTTGCTCCATCCTTGATATCAAAGGAATGCAGATCCAGCACTTCAGAGAGATCCACCCTGTGGAAGAAGGTCACTGATTATTAGTTGGCTAAAACTAACATTAGGGGCAACTGAGTGAACTGGCTCAAGCTAAAAAGTTGTGGGAATGTTTTTCCGATTAACCCCTCACTGCACGCTGTCTTTCATCTGTTCACCCCGCTCTGAACTCTGCGGGGGAGGACCAAGCCAGTCCGAAACACACCCAAACCTTTGATACACACTGCTTGCTTTAGCCAGATGCTACCTGGGTCCAATAACACCCAACATGCTAAGACAGAGGGCACATATACACACATATTTGCACGCTCGCACATTTACACATATGCGACCATGTCGGCCTGAAGACCTGGGGTCAGAGAGCAAAGACTTGTGGGTAACTGGACACCATTGAAGGTTTGGTGTTTATTCAGGGTGCAGCAGTTTGTGTACGTATACGTGTGTGTGTGTTGGGGGTTTCTCCTGAGCAATGTCACGCCTGGACTGCTCCATCTTTGATATAAAGATCTGAGCAGGTCAGGAGCAGCACGTGGAGTTCATCTGTTACACTAAACAAAGCCAGGAAGCCAGTGTAAGGCTGGAAAAAGTTCATTTTTTATTCTGAAGAACTCACCTTGACCTCTGACATTCCAGAATCTTGACAAGCCCATTTATGGACCTGAAGTGACAGGGGAAAAAAGTTAATACTTAGATAATGGACAGATTAGACCTTGTTCCTTCTAAGCTATCCCCCTACAACTTTGCTCTTTCTGCCCTAACAAGGGAAGCAAAATGTACTGTTGTTCCAAAGTTACATAAGGAGCTCAAAAATAAGATAACATAGATAAAAAAGCAGAACAGGTAAAAGTATATGAAGCTGACCTGACAGCATCTCGAGTCTGAGCGAGCTCCTCCTCATTCACCAGGTCCGTTTTGTTGATTATGGTCAGGTCAGCGAGGGCAATCTGCCTGAAAAGACATAAAATACAATGTGTTCATATGGCAAGTAACACAGTTTGCACAAAATAAATAACAGAGACAGAAATCCCACAAATTTACAAGTGTACGAGTTAAGTTTGAAATGTACGAGTTTTCGTGGGTGGCAGCGGGCAGTGCATGCCAAACTCAAATGGGAGCTGAGCGTTGTTTAGTTTAGAGGTGAAAACACAAACAAAGCCCAAGAATGCAAAGGGTCATGCAACTGGTCTTTCTTCATCAGTGTATTTGTTCAACAACAACACCACACAGCTGCTGGAAGAGACAAACAGAGAGACGCCCGGGGAGACAGACAGGCGGGTGGCAAGAGTACGCTCAACGGCATGTTATGAGCCTTTATGTGGTGAGCGGTTGGTTCAGTCTTAAAGGAATAGTAAATTTTTGCTCTCTTGCCAATGAAACACCACCTCATCTCTGAAAGACATGGAGACAGAATCATGAGGGTGTTGGTGCTTAAGCTGATGTTTTGGATACATGGCTTGTAGTTTACTTTGTTCATTGAGATGTTTTATATTGTACTATCGTCCGTTCTACTGTCAATCACTTGTTTTAATCTTGTGCTGCTGCCTATCTTTGTCAGGATCCCTTGAAACTGAGATTTGTAATCTTAATGGAATCTATGCTTGCTTAATACAGGTTAAATAAAATGAAATCTCTGTACACTACATATAAAGGTACCACCACCAGCTGGTTACCTTAGCTTAGCATAAAAACCGTAAAAAGGGGGAAACCGCTAACCTGGCTCTGTCCAAAACAAACCTACTACCATTTTGGAAGCATGTCATATCATGTTCAAGATTCTAAGTCATCCGCTTCATGGTAATCTTAAGTGCTATATCTTAGGCAACTGGACTTGCTTGAGTTTCTTGAAGATGTTTCTCTTTACGTCATAACTTAACATGTCATATCATGTTTGTTTAATCCATAATAATAGCAGTGTGGTTTCGCTCTGTAAGAAAGGAAATAGGTGTATTTCCCAAACTGTCAAACTATTTATCAAAAAATAAGAAAAGAAAAAGAAAAAATCTGCAAACATACCTTGCTGCTTCATTGACGAGTCCCTCTGCTTTTTCCTCTGTTAGTTGCTACAGAAAGCAGAAACGGTGGACATAAGTTACACATGCAACCAGAAAATGAAAGAAAATCAAGTACTTAATAGAGCAGTGTGTAGGATTTAGTGCCATCTAGCAGCAAGGATTGCAAATTACAACCAGCTGTAGCTTCTCCCGTGTACAAAGCGGGAACTCCTGGTTTGGATTCCTTCAGTGTTTATTGTTCCGGAGGTTTTGACTGGGAGCTGAATTACCCACAGAGGTCTCTTGCTCTCCAAAACAAATGGACCCGGTGATTCAAACCAGTAAAAACACTGAATAAAGCAGTTTCACGCTACAAATCAGTGTTTTAATGAGGCCACTGAACTCGTCACAGAGGGGCTGCTAACTGTGTTAGCCATTGCAAAAAGGCCCTGTCTGTGACGTGACCAGATACATCTTTGATTAAGCACCCACTCCCTTGGACACAGGGATGTAAGTGTCTTTTTTTTTTTCTTTTTTTTTTTAGACTGTTGTTTATGCTTTATCAGACCAACAGCCCAAAAATCCAAAGCTTTTCAGTTTCTTTTCATGTATGACAAAGAAAAGTATCAAATTCTTACATTTAAGAAACATGAAAACAGCAAATATTTGACTTTAGTTCCTAACAAATTACTAAAACACTCATTCAATAATCAAAATAGTTGCCAATTAATTTTCTGTCGATCAACTAATCCATTATAGGGACTAATTGCTACTTGAGTTGTTCTTTTCTGACCGTTTCCTTCCTCTTTCCAGAGAGGAGGGTGGACTTTACAGTTGTAAATGTTGTAATTTCTAATATTTCATTAACGAACAGTGTCGCCATAATATGTGTTTGAGATTCTAAGTCATCCGCTTCATAGTAATCTTAAGTGCTATATCTTAGGCAACTGGACTTGCTTGAGTTTCTTGAAGATGTTTCTCTTTACGTCATAACTTAACATGTCATATCATGTTTGATTAATCCATAATAATAGCAGTGTGGTTTTGTCTCTGTAAGAAAGGAAATAGGTATATTTCCCAAACTGTCAAACTATTTATCAAAAAAAGAAGAAAAGAAAAAGAAAAAATCTGAAAATCTGCAAATCCATGATCCACGAACAGTGTTTTAATGAGGCCACTGAACTCGTCACAGAGGGGCTGCTAACTGTGTTAGCCATTGCAAAAAGGCCCTGTCTAGAGCCAGCGTTTGGTTTGTCTGTTCTGGGCTACATTAAGAGAGTCATAGTTACTCATGGCTTCCCATCTCATGCTTATCCACACACACTATGAGGCGGCTTCACACATGACTCCGTTAGTGCCCTTTACTCCATCTCTGGAGTTTCTCACATGCGGCCCGCCTCTTAGGTGAATACCCTTGGCACCGTGAGGTTACCACCCTGTCACAGGTTGCAGGTCTTGCCTAAGCAACCTTTATTGGAAAGAACAGAGTAATGGGTACGAGTACCCTACTCAGTATGTTTCCCTTCTAGACCCAAGGACCGTCGAGACCATTACCACATGCTTGACACACCCTAATGCATGCCAGTGCTCTTGGGTCCGACTTAACTAAGACATCAGGTCCGTTGTATGTCCCCCGAACGTAGGGTCTGGAGATCAGGCAGATCGCCGTACCATCCAGGTTGACTCTAGATCCAGAGTCAGGGAACCACAGTTAATTACGCCGTGGGCTGGTGCTAACAGACAGGTAGCCCCCTGTCTAGAGTCAGTGTTTGTTTTGTCCGTTCTGGGCTACTTTAGAAACACTGCATCCATGGACGAGGACCCACTCTGTCTATGTAGATATAAACACCTCATTCTAAGGTAACGAAAACATGACGGTTCTTATTTTGAGGTGATTATAAATGAAAGAAAAAATACTTTTTATATTAGATTCCATTTCTGCCAATATACCCCCCTAATTCCTACACACTGGACCTTTAAAATAGATAAAATTGCTCAGTCTGACTTCCATAGATTTCCAACTTTAAGCACATTCTTGAAAAACCAAAAGTATCAGTGCATGTTTGCGACAGCCACAACAACATGTGACAGATAAATTGGTAAAAGAAAGGCCCGTCTTTCATCTTTGGGAACTAAGTGACTTTCTCAACACGTGAATCCACAGGAGATCGCTTTTCATTTTCTGCGTGCATCTTGTGCTTACACTGGGGATGCAGGCAGCTTTTTCCAAAACAGTTTAATATGTAACAACAGACAGAGCAGGAGGTGTTAATCTGGATCATGACCCCTGAGTGTCAAACTGATCTGTCACTGTGTGCATCACCACTACAGCTTCATTTCTGAGGGAATGAATGATAAAAAATGTGATTAAAAAACCCAAGAGAAGAGCCAACTGCTTCTTTTTATTCAACGACCTCTGCACCAGGAGACAAAGGCCCTTCAGAGGGTGTGAGTCCGAGGGCCCGAGTTAACTTGCAATACCTCAGACAGATGGATATTTTATGGGACAGATGAAGAGAGAGGCAGGTGAGTGGATGTGACAGTCCTATTACAATGGTCACATCTCTGATATCAATTACTCCGTCACTATCAGTTATCTTCTCCTTCCTTCTGTCATTATTCCCTTCATCTTGCCTCTCTTCAGTGAGAAGACAGAGCAGCACCTATAGGCCATGAAATGTGTCACCTCACTGAGTATGACACCTTCAAATTAGAGGCCATTATCTAGGTGTCACTTGTCCTGTTCCTTTTATATACCACAGGGAGGGCAGGATGTGTGTGTGCTGCTCTGCACTGGGAGTTTACGAACAATTCACAAGTTTAGCAGCTTATTCTGGATTCAAAGAGTAGTTTGGGTATTTTTTCAATCTGGACCCCATTTTTGCATGTTTTAGTGTCTAAATGGGAAACAACCGTTTCTGAAATCAGTCTAGTATTGAGTGACAGGGCTGCAGCCAGCAGCCGCGAAACACACTGTAATGTAACTACTGGAGACATGTTCACGCTTTCAATTTATGCCCACCTAAAATGTTTATTTTTGCCACTGACAGGCTCAAATTTTTATTCATCTCAGCATTTAACATAACATTTTCTAAAAAAAAAAAAAAAACAGTATCTTCTTAGCACATACCTGCAGTCCATACTTGGCGTCGATGACTGTGACGATGCCTACAATGAACAAAGTATAAAATTAATTTAAAAAATGAAGTGTTCAGTGACTCAAATGTAGTTCCACAACCTGTGGACTTGTTTTCCTAAGCTGCCTTTTGGATTATGTCCATTTGTCTGAACCACTTTCTCCAAATTACTTGAAGTACACTTTTGGTCTGCTAGCCTGTCACAACAGAGTGGACAGCTGAGTATTTAGTGTGCGGAGCGAGACACCATTCATGCAAACACACACACACACACACACACACACACACAAACAAACCAGTAAAACAGATACACAAACAAGAAAATATATCTTAGCCTGTAAACAAAGCAGAGAAAATGTCTCTCTAAAATTGGACAATAGTCGGAGCTGTCACAGCTTCAAAATTACGACTCTTTAATTATAGCACAAATAAAAAGCACCATCCCTGCTGGCTTAGTAAAAACTATTTGGGCCAATTGTGTCTGACTAATAACATTTATTAGACCGAGTGTTAAAATAAAGCATTACAAGTCTTTCAAAATTTAAAAATATAATACTTCCATTTATCAGTTTAGTGTTTTCAAATGGCAGCACCAAAATGAAGTTAAACCAGTGAGAGCAGCGATGTCTGAGGAGTTATGTCTAACACAACTGCACTAACTAAGAGTATTACCACCACCAGTGTCATTTCATAATAGACAAAGACACACTGTGTCATTACGAATATCTTACCATCCAAATAGATGTCACTGCCGAGCTCTGCGTCGACCCAGAACATGGAAGCCACCGCTCCTGCCAGAGGATATGAACTAGTATGTTAGATTTTACATGCATACCTACAAATCCAAAGTTTCATAATGTCAGGCAGGAAATGTTCTTCACAAGTAAATAGAGGCCATTTTCTTCATTTTCCCCAGTAATTCACTCATTTAACTATATTTTCCATACTGCCTTCAAAAATATAAAGAAAGCCAAGCATAAAAATGCAGTCCCCTGGCATGTTACATAGAAATTACACTGTCAGACATCAGAGACAATTGATTTAATTCACAAGATTGATGATGATCTGCTTAAAGAGCCAACTTACCCACTGTTTTTTTGCGTTTCAAGTGCAGTACCTAACCATGTCGTATTGCTAATATGTTTAAAACAGTATTTAAATTCACTTAAGGATGCAAAAAATTATTATTGTCACTATTTAATAATTTGCAGAGATGTGTTCAGTTTATCATTTGATCATTTAGTCAATAAAATGTCAGAAAATACAGAAACTTGCCTATCACAATTTTCCAAGTGCAAGGTAACATCTTCAAATCACTTAAAACGTATGACTATTCATTGTAGAATAATATTAAGCAGAGAAAAGCAGCATATAATCACATTTGAGAAGCTGATATCAGCATATTTTCTGCATTTTTGCTTGATATGTGACACAGGATTAATGTCCATAATTCAGTCATTTCAATATGAAATGAACTGACTTTATTCAACGACAGCCACATCTTAAGTTTTTTGTGTTTAAAGTCATTATTGTTATATTTTCAGAAACCCTGTGTGCAGTCTTTCCTGTCCGAGCTCTGTGGAGCAGATAAAACCAATATCAGAAGCTTTCAATTGTTTATCTCCTGCTGGTACATTTGGTTTGTTTCTATTTTCCTTCGGACGCGGTTATTACAAGACCCTATGTTACCATGCCAGCCACAGCTTGTTCACATAATGCACTTTTGTCAAACTGCCAAGCGAGAATAAGAAAGCATTGTAAATATTTGATGGCTGCGTAATGAAAACACTGTTTTTGAGTGGCATGTTTCACATAACTCATCCAACCTCTTCCTGAATGGAAGAGGAGAATCCCCCCGGGAGCCTTTATGATTGACAGCAGTGCCAGGGCCAATGACAGACCTGTCCGAGTCGATAACGAGCCTGTCTCAACCAATGACATGGCAGAGGAGTGAGGACAGCCCCGGTCTGAGCGTGCTCTGTTGGTTCTGTCTGTGAGGCCAAGTGGTGTGTGTCTGCACACGCCGCTACCTCCTGACACCTGTCACTTAGCGACACACCCCGATTGTCACAGCGCTCGCCCTGTAATGGCCTAATATTGATTTCCTGATTCAAAGATGAGAGCTGAACGGACAGCTAGGTTGTGTTTTTGTTTTTTTTTTTTGCTGCCCTGATGGAAATAGGCTTGTTGGATGCTTCTGTCACAGCAACACAAGTCTGGTCCTCAGAGTTACAAAATGTTTCCCCTCTGATGTGAGTTTTAGAAAGAAATTTGCTGGCGGACTATATTTAGACTCAGACAGAGGATAAGGCATTGCTTGATCCATAAGTCATCCCTAAATATTGTGCCAGGAAGCTGTTTTGTTCTGAGTAACATAAAAAAGACACAACAAACTATAGGCAGAGGCAGTCTTAAGTCAAAATGAAAGTATGTATATACAATAAAGTGCAAAATGGTAATATCATAGTGGACATTCAACAAGTTAACTCAAACATGGCTTATAGCTGCTGGTTGCTCATAGATAATATGTCCATATTGTGCCGACTAATTCAATTCAGTCTGATTTATCATCGTTCCGTATCAACACTACTATCGAGTGAGTCCTGGGAACATTTATTAAAAGATAATCTAAGTATTTTGCAACCTGGACCCTATTTTCCCATGCTTTTGTCTCTAAGTGACTAATAGGAACAACAATTTTTGTAGCTGGCCCACTATTAAGCAAGATCTCTGCAGCCAGTGGCAGCAAAACAAGCTGCCATGTGATCCCTATGGACATTTAAGCACCATCATTTCCCATCCAATGAAAGAGCTTGTTTTTTGCCACTGAGAGGCCCAGATCAAATGTGTCTGTCATCATTATGAAAATGATCCTTACAGAGATAGACTTTTTTGATAAAGAGTAAGAGCATTTTTGTTGAACCACAAACAGCCGCAAGATCTCTACTGCAAAAACCCACCAGACTCCATTTAAATGAACAGCGATTTTATCATTAAAGGTTAATTTTTGTAAGATTTAGGGTGATTTAGTGGCGTCACGTGGTGGGGAATGCAGATTGCAACCAGCTGACACTTCTCCTGGTTAGAGGTCTGTCAGTGTTCTTTGTTCAAGAGGTTTTTACTGGGAGCTGAATAAACCACAAAGTTCTAGGCTACTGTAGAAACATGGAGGTGAATGTGGTGATCTCCATACATGAGGAACTGCTACCTATTCAGACATTAAAGGCTTACTTTAAGGTAACAAATACACAATAATTCTTATTTTAAGGTAATTTTACACTAAGAAAATATACTTAGGTGACTCTAAATTGCCTGTAGGTGTTAACGTGAGCGGGAATTGAACAGTTGTCTGTTTCTATGTGTCAGCCCTGTGATAGTCTAGCGACCTGTCTAGAGCGTACCCCACCTCTCGTCCAATGACAGCTGGGGTAGGCTCTAGCCCCCCCACGACCCCTAACAGGATAAGCGGTTACGGATGATGAATGAATGAATCAATAAATGTATTATATTCCATTTTGGTCAATATATCCCCCTAAATCCTTCACACCTGGCCTTTAAAACACACTTAATTTAAGGTCAACAGAAATAAGATAAAACTCACAAAAATCATCTTGGTTTGCTTCCCACTGTTCAAACAATCACCAGTTCTGGATTGGTTTCAATAAGCCCTTCAGTCAACCCAGTTAGGTGTGGAACTATACTGGCTTTATACATGCTAAAATGACTGTTTATTTAAAAGGAGTCTGGTGGGTTTTGTGCTGGTGATTCCAGGTCTGATTCTGGTTTAGCAAAACAAGGATTTTACTCTTTAACAAAGAAGTCTGTAGGGATTCTGTCCATAATGTTGTCAGAAATTTATGATAACAATTTGAGCCTGTCAGTGGCAAAAACACACATTTTTAGTGGACATATGAGGGTGCATTTGCGAGAAGTTTAGCTCTCTTTATCAGATGTTCAATCTGGTCTGCCCTGTTTTATTACTCTGCAGTGGTGCTGGTATCTTTTAGAAGTTACACAATCGTTACATTTCTTGCATAAAATAGATGTTGTTGTTTGCCAGCTGACTCTCAAATGTCTGTGCTGTGTGTGTGTGTGGGCTCGAAGAACCAGGTCCTCTCTCTGCCTCCAGCCCACACACAACACCCCTCCTAGTGTAACAGCTGGTGACTCCATGAGGTTTCAACAGGATACATATCACTGTCTACATGCTCCCCGGGCCAGAGCTTGAAAAAACAACAGTCTACTTAACAATCAAATGCAGATTTATATGACAACTTTGCAAATGTGTGATATACCTGGATCAGCGAGTCCTGTGGTTTCTAACAGGATGTAGTCAAACTTTCCTTTCTTCTCCATCAGGTTCTCGATGGCTTTAAGACCGTTGTCCCTGAAAAATTACAGCCGACGATTGAGTTAAAATGGCAGTTATGAAGTATGAATGTATTGACATACATTATACCTCAGAGAGAATGACCATAAAACAGTTTTACTGTGCACTTATACCCTCATTAGCACAGCAGTTTACACGTATGTAAAAAGGTGAGGCATTGGCACAACAATTTAAACTGAGGGGATGTATTTGAAAGAAAGGCAAAGCAACAAGTTTGACCTTTAATTTTTGTTTTAATTAACATTCTGACACCTAATGGAGTACAGGTACTCTACATACTTGACGGAGCAGCAGAGGCAGCCATTTCTCAGCTCCAGCCACTCTTCATACAGCTCTCCTGCCTGGCTCACCGCAAGGGACTTCTCAAGGGCGCTGCCTGCAGGCGGAGGATGAGGATGGAAGAGAAATCAGGAAAAGATCAGCTGATAAAGACTAAACAATCAACCAGAGATGCTGCATATCTATATTCTGAAAGAAGAATAACGATTTCAAAAATGTGAATACGAACACCCATAATAAGAGGTTGCGGACCACTTAAACAAGTTAAAAAACAAAACAAACAAACAAAAAATATGGCCAAACCAGCTAAATTCAACATAAATCCAAAGTAATAAGTACTGTGGAAAGGATCGCGATGTATCGCTAATGTGAATCTACTAATCAACTCTTGATAGTATCCTACACCTTAAAATTTCTAGACATTGTGTATTTAAAACATGGAAATATTTTTTTGTGTTGAACAAAAGCCTTCCTGTCTGTGTTCATTTTTTTTTTAAATTAAAGGAAGGAAATTATAAGGTAATTTAAGAGAGCTGTTTATTTATTAAACATGTAAAGTGAGAACCAATGTGCGATACAGATGTGTCTCAGTTTCGGAAGTCAAACTATGGAATGGACTCAGTGCTGAGTTGAAACTGTTTTGCTCTTTGTTGACTTTTAAAAGGGCCTTAAAATGTAAAATGATTATGGATTATAATGTAAAATGATTAAAATGTAAAAGAAGTGAGGATTACAATTTAGAGTAAAATGTATTTAATTATTAATTTATTTATTTACTTCCTCTTATTTACTTCCTTGTTAATATTCTGGGTTATCCTTTGGTTGATGTAGAATGGCAAAAATAAGCCTGGAGCTTCAGCCTATTCCTTTTTCGGTTCTTGACTGTGAGAAAATTTGTGTGAAATAATCTTTGTTTCTCAACATGTATGTAACTGAAATAAAAAAATATTCATTCATTCAAATCAATGCAAATATGACACTTGTTGCTGTAACAGAGTTTCTCTAACTCTAATAATACACATTAAAAACACATTCATGAGCCTCTTTCAGTTCTGGGTAAAGTTTTTGCTCTGCTGCCCTCTTCTGGATAATTGAGGGAACAACATAATCATAAGACTGGCATCAGGTTTGTGATATGCACAGTTTAGAACAACTCTGTTTGGTGCAAAAACAGTTAAAACTACTACTCATAGTGATTTCTCTCTGAAGGTTATTATTAGTTTACCTTCTCCAAATTCATTGAGTATGACAGCAATCCGTTTGTTGTGTTGTTCTGTTAAGATGTAGTTCAGGAGTGTCGTCTTTCCAGCACCTATAAACACACAAACACAGAGAAATTATGAGGAAGTATGACCCAAACTGATTACTACGTGAACAATACCCTGGTCCAGCACCAGAGCAGCTTTTGGTTGTGATGAGTATGGACTGACAAATGTCTGAGACTATAATCTGCTTTATAAGCTCATTAAAGCTTTGAGTAATGCAGACAGTCTCTCACCGAGGTAGCCTGTAATGATGGTGACAGGTATCTGCTCTGTAAGAGGACCAGGCGGGGTGACGATGGGCACCAGCTCTGGGCAGTCGTCATCGTCCTCCATCACCATGCCATCCATACCAGGGATAATGTTAGTCAAACAGGGACACAAGCTGGATCCGATGAATCAGACAGAAACAGGTTTAATGCTCCACTGCAATACTGCCAACCTCCTGACTCTGAGCTTTCTCCATAGCCGTCCTCTCCCTTTGTAACTCTCTCCCCGAACACATTCAAGACTGCATCGATCTCTCCCAGTTCAAATCACACATCAAAACTAACTAATGTAACGTGTCTTTGAATACTATGAAAAGTGCTCTATTATTAATTTATGAGTAGGATTACACAAAAACTGTGGAATGTAACAAAGTAAATTCACTAAAGTACTGTACTTAAGCACCATTTTGGGGTGCTTTACTTGGGTATTTTCATTTTATGCTACTTTATACCTCTATTTCTCTACATTTCAGAGGCAAATATTGTACTTTTAACCCCACTACATTTATTTTAAAGCTTTTTGTACTTTGCAGATTCAGATTACCAACACAAAATAGAGTCAACTAATACATTTTGATATATTATTACAGACTAAACTTCCCAGCATTATGTAAAGTAATTAAAATTAGCACCACCTTTACTACTTACAGCATCAATACAGTGATTTACACATAAATTCATCAATTATTGTAGTCCAATTATATAACATGCATTATTCTGAAATGGGCCATTCTACATAATGAGTAGCCTACTTTTGCATTTGGTGCTTCAAGTACATTTCGATGCTAACACTTTTGTGCTTTCATTTAAATAATATTTTGAATGCAGGATCTCTACTTGTCACACAGTATTTTAACACTGTAGTATTGCTACTTTTACTTCAATAAAAGATTTGAGTACTTCTTCCATCACTGCACACAAAGCACAGGAAAATAATCATGAACAAATACATCAAATTTGTTTTAAAAGCATCTTCACATCTATCACATAGCTGACTGTGATATTGAGCAACATTTAGGAATGTGTAAGTCATTTACATGCTCGTAAATATTAAGCAAATAAAAAGACCAGTCAGCTCAATAAGTGGTGGCTTTACCCTAATTAAAAATCCTTAAACGTCTAAACAACACTCAAAAAGTTAAGAAGCATCATCTGTGTCTCCTCAGCATTGGCAGTTAGTGAAAGTGTGTATCCACTGAATGAGCTGAGCCATCATGGACTTTATCCCCTCCTAATACCTGCTCAGTGCACCACGACAGCAAAACACAGCGACTATCCTCCGTTTACGAAGGCTGTAAACAAATTACCTGACTGTTCCTCTCTTAAATGCAGATATTCAAAGTTTTCAGCAAAAATATTCTCCTTTTCACTGCTGCTGCTAGACGTTTTGACAGCGTGCGACACTGAAGAGGCTCCGTTCAGATCCTGACGCCGCGGCAATGGTTCCGCTTCCGTTCACAGTAGTCGGAACACAAAGTCTACCGGACCGGAAGAACATTATGAATAATATTAGAATTAAACGGCGAATAAACTATAAATAATTACAACTTTGGCTCGACAATAAATTCACAAACATTTAGTTTCTCTCCGCCCCAGCTACAGTTTCTAAGAGCAGATACATTTTGGTGTCATGACATGTATTGACCACTAGATGGCGACAGAAACCAGATTATGGCAGAGATGTCTCACTTTGTCACTTCACAATTATCTGTGCAACTTCAACTATAAACTCAATATTTTATAGGCTTACCACAGAGCTTACCACTCTGTCAATAACAATGCAATAAAAAGCATACCAATTATATCAAAACATAGCAGGTCTACTGGATTGTACGTCAGATTGTGGCATGCATGACATGGTGGCCCTGAATAATCAACACTTAACACTGTAAATAGTCATATTCAACAGATAAATACGATAACTACACTCAGTATTTATTGTCACAAGTCTACAAGTCAGTTTGGGAAATAATGTGCATGAGTAATTTTAAGATGTTTCATGTTAAAGAATGGCGAGAAATAAGGTAAGTGTAAACTCACAGCCTCTCTATACAAATACAGGGACGTGCACAGCTCCTATGCCTATACAAGCCATCTTGAAGTGCGGGATATGCTATGTGATACATTTTTTGTGAGCTTAACGAAGGGACTACATATTAATCCTTGCAGCGGAATACCTTGGGGTCCCCCAGAAGTGACCCCCTGCAACCTGCTGCACAGATAGTGGATGCATGTAAAACTATTGCAATTGCTCTAAACTATTTCAACTGTCCTAGATCATTTAGACATTAAGGTACACTCGATTATTAAATAAAAAATGATATACTTTCCCGATAGACTTTTCTCAGTGCAGGAGTTTAGCCCTATGTGGCAAGTATAACACACGTGTAACTAATAATATTAATCACTGCATTTCATAGATGTGAAAATTAGAGACCTGTCACACTACACCTTTCAGTGATGACGCAAAAGGTTGTTGTGATAAAGGTTTGTTGTGCAATGCCTAAATGAGTATTAGTAGAAAGGAGCTCCCTCTGACTTTCTACAAGTTAATGTTTTTTTTTTTTTTAAAAAAAACATTGGTAAGTTAAAGTTTATTGGATAAGCTGCTGGAGCCTATCCCAGCTGACAATGGGCGAGAGGCAGGGTACACCCTGGACAGGTTGCCAGACTATCACAGGGCTGACACATAGAGACAGACAACCATTCACACTCACATTCACACCTACAGGCAACTTAGAGTCACCAATTAATCTGCATGTCTTTGGACTGTGGGAGGAAGCTGGAGTACCCGGAGAAAACCCAGGCTGACATGGGGAGAACATGTAAACTCCGCACAGAAGACCTCCCCCACCCTGGGTTCAAACCCGGAACCCTCTTGCTGTGAAGTGACAATGCTAACCACTGCACATTTGCATACATAATAAAACCATCAATACATGCCATGTATCAATACAAGAAAATATACTATACTATACGATACTATACGGTAGTACTATACAATACTATGTTATACTATACTATATTATCTGATACTTTACTATACGATACGATACAATACTATATGATACTATACGGTACTATACTATATGATACTATACAGTACGATATGATACTATACAATACTATGTTATACTATACTATACTATACTATATGATACTATACAATACTATGTTATATTATACGATACGATACTATATGATACTATACGGTACAATATGATACTATACAATACTATGTTATACTATACTTTTCTATACCATACTATACTATACTATATGATACTTTACTATATGATACAATACAATCATACCGTATTGTATCATATAGTATACTATATGATACAATACGGTACGATACTATACTATACTATACTATACTATACTATACTGTACTATAGTATCCGATACTTTACTATACAATACTATACTATACGATACTATACTAATGATACTTTACTATATGATACTATACGATTCTATACTATATGATACTATATGATACTATACGCTATGATACGATACTATACGATACCATGCAATACTGTTATACGATACTATACTATAGCTACTATACGATACAATACCATAGTATACAATACTATACGATACTGCATTGGCTTTTCCCCCCACCCTTAAAATGTAGATCTAGGGGCATCGGTAGCATAGTGGATAGTGCCAGCGCCCCATGTATACAGGTGATACCCTGCTGTAGCAGTTGCGAGTACGACTCCGGCTTGCAACCCTTTGCTGCATGTCATCCCCCGACTCTCTCTCTCTCTCTCTCTCTCTCTCTCTCTCTCTCTTGCATTTCTCACACTGTCCTGTCCATTAAAGGCAAAACGCCCAAAAACATAATCTTTAAAAAAAAAAAGAAGCTCTAGATGGCTAATTCTAAGATAAGAAAAGCAAACTGATTCTTGTTTTCAGGTGATTATACACTAAAAAAGCATGCTTATATTCCATTTCTGCCAGTGTATCCCCTACATCCTGCACACTGCACCTTTCAAACATAATTTTATGTGGAGGAAGATTGTTACATTTGACCCCAGTCTCCCCTACTATTGTAGGTATTTAATTTCCTCTCATAATAAACTGGATTTGTTTTTTTGTTTTTTATTTTTTTCTGTGTGTGTGTGTGTGTGACTGAGCAGAAGAAAACTGTGACTGCCTGCTCGGTAAACTCAAAGCTTATCTCGGCAGCGAGGGAGCGCGCGTGTCTCATCCAGCGTGTCCCATCATCCCCTCCCACCCCTCGCGCCTTTCTCTCTCCCTCTCTCGTGCGCTCTTTCTCTCTCTCTCTCTCTCTCCACGGGATGGCTCAAATCAAATGCGGAAGTTTACACCCAGGAAAGCTGCTGCCGCCGCCGCCACAGCCAAGATGAGTGTTGACATGACAGTTGAGCTGTAGCGAGGACGAGAAGTAGCGGCGTGTCGGTGACAGCGAGGCGGCGAGACCGCAGGAAAACACCGGAGCCAGCGGAGCCGCTCAACCGGACCTCACACTCACATATGGCTTCTCTCAACAGCGCTGAGCGACGGGCTTTCGCTCTGAAAATCAACAGGTACAAACGTGCTCTAGGTTAGAAATGTTGTCGTGGTGTCAAGCTTTAGTTTCAGGGAGTTGAATATGAACTTCCCCAGAGATATGGGTGGGAGCTCTGTCTTGACATTTGGATGGGGATTCCACAGCGGAGCAGGCAGCCACATGTTGTGAATGTTAATGCTGCAGGTTGGTCCACCCTGTCCCGGAAAAAAAGGCAGCCCGGAGGACAATAAACAGCCAACTTCTCTTCAGCTTCCCGAGAAGGATTATCACAGGGCATAGTGAACTTTTGGTAACAGTGACAGCCATGTGATCAATCATGAATACATTAGTTTCTCTCATTACTTCCTCTGAAGCAGAGAAACAATGCTGCACCAAGTTGACAAATCTGTATTTTATCAGTGCTATTTCCTCCTCACGAGGATGCTGATTCTATATCTAGTGTTTCTAATATGATCATTTCCTGTGCTGGTGTGTAAGCCCTTAGAGCTGCCATGACTGAGGAGGGATGTGGTCATAGTTCCTGCTGAGACACTGACCAGGTGTGGAGGAAGTATATACATGGAAGTCTATTGTGTACCATGCCTCCTCCATAGTGCGACTCATTAAAACAAACACACTAATGCTTCCTATGATTAGTGGCACAGCCATATAACGCCTCTCCGGTACAGTATGTGCTGGCCAGGCTGAGTGTGTTGTACAATATGTGCAAGATGTTCCAGCAGTTTAAAGGTGGAGGTGGAGAGATTAGCTCTGAGTTAGGAGTTATGATGTTGGATGATGAGGAGAAATATTGTTTACCCTCACAACAGTCAGCACTGTTTTAATCCCATTTGATCCTCTCTTAAAAACACTCTTAACCCAAATCTGTTCCCTTGTTTCTGCAGCTTTTACGCGCCCTCACATCTAAAACTTTATGAATGACCGTCTGACATAAGGAATTTTAATGAATCACCAGTGATGCAGTCATGCAAAATGTTTCTAAAATGGTTAAACTAGGGCTGCAAGCCATGATTTTTAAATTACTGCCTAATCTGATAACTATTTTCTTGATTTTGTTGTCTACAAAATGTAAAAAAAATAACAGTACAAATGCCAACCACAACATCCCAATGCCCAAGATGACGTCTTCAAACTGCAGTCTACATTCAATTTACAATAATATAAAACAGAGAAAAGCAGCAAATCGATTATCTCAATAGTTGCAGATTAATGTCTGATCATCATTTCAGCTCTACTCCGAAGCATGTACTTGGTGAAATTCCCCATCCACCTCAGTGATTGCACCGTACTCTTGTCTCTAATAGCCCGGAGAAATCGTGGATCGTTGCTGTGTTGTGCTGTGTTGTGCTGTGCAGAGCTGAGCTCAGCTGCTGAGGGATGTGAGGGATCTTGGGTCACAGTCTGAATCTATTGATGAGCCAGCAGAGGGGCTGCTTAGAAGATGCTGCGCTGTATAAGCACTGGGTTTGTGGAATGTGTGGTTGCAAAGTGTTAACCAGCACAGCCAGTAAGTGATAACGCAAGAGAAAGAGATACAGTGTGTTGATAATGATTTCTCAAAATGATCGTAGCATAGACTGCTGTGAGTTGTTGTGAGGGAAATTTTAACATCAAATCATTTGTATATTGACCCAGCAACACTGAATACATATTATGTAATATAAAAATAACACATTATCTTATGTACAGCACATGTTAGGTGCACAAAATAATGTCAACATCTAATGAAAATGGACTTAGAGTTGGGTCATTTTAGGTCAAATGCCAGGTTGTGTAAGCTAAGCTATAAAGGAGATCAGACAGTCAGTGCTTTGACATGCAATTATTTTAAACATTTTTGCCTTTATTATGACAATGA